TCAAATATCTTGACCTTGAGTAACACCGAATAGACATTTACTGCCAAAATGTGCATCTGCTGCAGTAAAATTGGTACTGTTAATGTTATTATCTTAACAAATCTAAGATGTTTAACACTTTTTTTTAAACAAAAAAGCAGGATTTAGGAGTACATTCGATAAGGTATATAAGATCGACTTTGAAAAAAACTTATTTGTTTTTGTAATTAGCTCGAATATTTCTTTTAGAACTTGAATTGCCCATTCTTCAATTATGGGAATATATTGTTCTCTATGATATCGCCAACAAGCGATGTGTTATCTAAACTTAGAAAAGCAAAATGATCGCTTTTAGCAGATATCAGTATTTTGAGCAACTGCAAAAACTTTTATAGAAGGCTGTTCCCGGAACAATACGTATCGATTGCATTTTGAAATTATGAAAAAAAGTTACCATGACCTAAAAACCATACATTTATTTGACTTTTTATCATATTAATATCGATTTCCTAAGATAAATTTCGCTTTTAGATAATTTTTCACATTTTTGAAGGATTTAAGTTTTCGATAACTATTGTGCCACAAACCTCTCAATTTTCTTTTGATTTGGAATTATTGTATCCTGTTCTATAAGGTTCATATGAACTTTCAGAAAATTCATCGTACATTAACAACAAAATTGCATTTTGTTATATTATCGAAAAAAAAAAATTAATATAGAAGTCTGGAGATGTGGTATGATTGCCAACGAGACAACTTTCCACCAACGTTCAAATAAAGTGGATGTAAGCAATTATAGGCAACCGTACGGCCATATTCCCCGACATATATGAAACAATTTAATTGAGAAAACCAACGGCCTAATTTATAACAAAACAATTTACGAAAAGAAATATGACAGACGTCAACAAACGACAACCACTGTACTACAGGATCCTGACTTGGGACAGGCACATAGAGAATGAGGCGGGGTTAAACATGTTTGTGAGCGGTCAACCCTCCCCTAACCTGGGACAGTGGCGTAACAGCACAACATAAGAACAAACTATAAACAATCAGTGAATCTAGGAAAGGACACTAATTGCTGTTAATATTTGTAAATTTCGGCAGTATATTTAGAGAATTCTTCATTATTTAACCAAAAAATATCATCAAGATAACGGCAAGTGCTGTTGAATTCAACAATCAACTGAAATTTAGACGGGTCTTTACTGAGTTTGGCCATAAACTATGATTCATAACAGTACAGGTACAAGTCTGCTATTAAAGGGGCACAATTGGTACCCATATGAATACCTACAATCTATCAATAAACTTAATTGCCGAAATGTACATAAATGTTGTCAAGGAGAAAATTTATGGCTTTAAGGTGGTACCCAACACCTTGACTAATATTAATTTGGCTCGTTTAATTTTCATAAAATTTTGACAAAATATTAACTTTGACCCTTTGACAGAAATATAAAAATTTCAAATAATTTGAACCAACCACTTTATCAGAAAAATTTCACTGGTTATATAGCAGTTTGACAAACACTAATTTTGATCACTGATAAGCTTAATATTTCCTTAACAATACAACGTAATTAAAACGTTTAATTGATTTTTACAGAGTTATCTCCCTGTAGTGTTAGGTACCACCTTAATCATCTCATCACAACTTCAGTATATATTTAGAATATGTACCTTTCTCGTTTGAGAAAAAAAGCTATATATGAGTTGCAGCAAATAAATTTGCAATCAGATTTATCGAATGAACATTTAATTAAATAGGACAACATTTCTTTGATAGGATTGTGTGGAAGTGTAGTGTAAAGAGTGGAAAAGTCAAAACTGTCAACCAAATCAAACGAAAGCACTGAAAGTATAGTATTAGAAAACTTACTAGAGACCGAGATAAAACGATATTTTACGGGTTGTTTTGTGTAGTTTAGGTAACCAATACATAGTGGGGACCTTTAAATGTTCAGAAGAGGCCTTAAGTTGAGATGTGGTTGTGACATGATTACGGCACTTCTGCGTCCCAAACGCAGTTCCGAGTCCTACGAAGAGTCCAATTCTGAAAATGAACAAGATTTTCAGTTTTTCCTCGTCTTTTTCTCTTTGTTAGATTTTTTTTTTTCAATTATTAAACTCAAATTTCAAATTCAAATATTTTATTGGACAAAACACATATGATAAATATGACTTTGCGTAATCTAAGTGTACAACCTATATGACATATTCAATATGACAAATAATGTAATAAATCATAATGCTCATGTTCGTATTTGTCAATTTGTCTTAAGTTCATTTACAAAAATGTAACATTTATAATATATTTTTTTATACAAACCTATCGAGCCTATTGTAATATGAATATGAATGGATATAAATTTTTAAGAAATCGGTAAAACTATTTGTATCCATTTGGTTTATGCTTTACTATTAGGCATCACTGTATCTCGCACTAAGTGAATGCTATGAGTATTTGTCAATTGCTCCTTTTCAATATCAACTCGTCCTTGATCATTCTAAGTAATGGCAAGTTGTTTTGGAAGGAACATAAACATAATCTGTTGTACCTGCGTTTGATGTCCCCTTTTTAACTTCCAATTTTGTTGTTTCATTGATTGACCAGAAAGCTCTCTTCTTCAGAAGATCAGTATGAAGATGTTCAAACCATATCTATACTCTCTTGATACATATTAGCGTCTACCGATTTCTTCTTGTACAAAACTGGTATCTATATATGTTATCAGATATTAAACTGTGGTGAGCAGGAAGCGTACATCTTACTTACTCAATGTATGAGTCATGTATGCAGCAAGATGACGTGTATCAATCCTTTAAATATGATTGCTTGTAACAAGAGATTGAACTTCTAAAGATTGTAGGTCATTCACAATTCTAAACTTTCATGCTGAATTTTAGAATTAACAACCGCTGCAATTACAACAACAAAAATTGCATTTGACCAAACATTTTGCTATTTAATATATCACCTTCCTGAGCACATGATATTACTATCAGTTGATGCTTAGTATCGGCATCTAGTGCTGCTCATTCTTTTGTTTTCTATGTAGTGTTTTGTAGACTTGTTAGGTCAATTGTTATCTTTCAATTTCTGTCATTCATGTCATTGCGTTGTTAACTCCCCTTCGACTTTTAAGCCTTGAAAGACCCCTTGATATCTTCCACCTCTATTTTATACAAACTATGTATCCATTGTTTTACACCCGTGTGTCAACTGGACCAAGAAAGAGGTCTTCATTAATTGGATTATCTCCTTGTGTTTTAAACAAATTATCATTCCTTTAATTAGTTTTCCAGAATAAAACAGTCATTTCTCTAGGACTTTCAAGACTAAATATGTTAAAGTTTTAAAGGGCCATTCTGTTGTATGTTTTTTTAAATAATGTAACATTTTTATATTGTAAAGTACTTTTAAATGAGAATGTTCAAAGGATTAAATTTCAGATGATTTCCTTTGGTTAGACTAGGTTTCATTCAAGGACAAAAAAATCAGTGAGAAGGATTAACTAATGCCATTTTCGGCTTATTGAGTATATACACGTATTTCAAACAGCATATGCAAATTTAAATTTTCAGTAAGTCAAAACGTTGAGCGTTTAAGAGTTATCTTTATTCAATATTTGACTTTAACTTTTGGAATATATTGAAGGGAAACAAATGGCAAAGATATAAATATATTGTCAGGCTATCCTTAAGCAAACAAATGGCAAAGATATAAATATATTGTCAGGCTATCCTTAAGCAAACATAAGAAAGAAAGGAAATCAGCAGTATCCTTTTACTTTTCTTTCCGCTATAAAGATGATGTTCTATATTTCTCTCACTAAATAATTCAAAATTTGGTGACCATGTTGAACGCATCTATCCCATCGAACTTGATATAAAGGATACAACAGATACAGTTAAGTCTGTCTCATATCTTGACTTACATCTAGAAATTGCCAATGAGGGTCGTTTGAAAAAACAAAAGTGCACGACAACAGATATGATTTCAACTTCACAATTGTGAACTTTTCATTTCTATGTAGCAACATTCTAGCAGCGCCTGCATACGGAGTATAAATCTCCCAGTTGAAACGATATTCCAGTGCTTTTATTTCCTATCATGATTTCCTTGATAGAGGGTTGCTGCTCACAAGGAAGCTGTTAAACCAGGAGTTCCAAGTGGTAAAGTTGAAAACACCCCTGTATAAATTTTACGGACGCCATCACGAGTTGGTTGACCGTTATGGAATGTCCGTTTCACAGACGATAGCAGATATGTTCCAACTATCGTAACTACAGTCCTGTCCCGTTTTCTCCGAATGTGACTACCGAATAAGACTTATTACCGGGTTTGTACTAACATAAACAACACGAGGGGTGCCACATGTGGAGCAGGATCTGCTTACCCTTCCGGAGCACCTGAGATAACCCACAGTTTTTGGTGAGCTTCGTGTCGCTCTGTCTTTTAGTTTACTATGTTGTGTTTTGCGTACTGTTTGTCTGTTTTTTTTTTCTTTTTTAGCCATGGCGTTGTCAGTTAATTTTCTACTCAAGTTTGAATGTCCCTTTGGTATCTTTCGCCTCTCTGTTTTATTCCAAAGAAAAGTTCAGCATACAGGATAACATACAATGTTATTTCAATTATTCATGCACGATATTTAATACAAAGACATATTTAAGTTACATCTTAAAATACAATTTGGTATACATGTTAATAGATCAATTCAATCTTTAACGGTACAACAATCAGTACAACACAGAGCATGACATACTTACAATTGTTCAAAATTAGCAGCATTATTTTTATTATGTATTTTCCAATTTAAGGTAAGAAGTTTTTTTCTTATTTACTTTTGCATCGATTTACATTTTGTTGAAGTAAGTTTGAATCATAGTTGAGGTATTTGTTATGGATAATTGAGTCATTCCAACTAGATTTTTTTTGCTATTAAATCCTGAAGCAAATTTAAGTTTTGAAATGATGTCTAATACGAATTTCAAAAAACAAAGCAGATATGACATCAATTAGTATAAACTTTTATTGCAACATTTTGACGTTAGTAGGTTTTGCAATATAGGAATAAGCTTTGATATTTGAAAGTTTTAGATGGCTGAAACTCGAATTTGCCACGTTATCATTTCTTAAACATATTTCGAGTTATTCTAGACAGAACAAATATTGCGTCAATATTCACTAAAGAAGTTTTACCGCATTCCAATCTTATTATAAGGTTCTTTTTTGTGAGGTCTATGCTAATCACAAAGTATTTTTCAAAGTTTTTTCAAATTCACTTTCAGATATATTGATGATGTTCTGTCACTCAATAAACCACACACCATTGAGTGTTAATATCTCACACATCGCAGAGAACTTGAGATTTAGGATACTACCGAACGTAGAAGATCTGCTTCATATCTTGATTTTTTCCTCGACATCGACAAGGATGAACGACTTAAAACTAGAATCAATGAAAAACATGATAATTTCAACATTCCAATCTTCAACTTCCCATTTCTCAGCAGTAACATACCCTCTGCTCCATCGCATGGCGTTTACATATTTGAGTCAATTCGTTACATTCGGTATTTTAACACTATACGAACGTATAAGGTTTTACTCCTACAAAGCAAACTTTCTTTTGTAAACAAAAGCATCCTCATTATATTTTTATCATTCGTCTGTGGTAGGAAAATGAATATTAAGATTTCGCTGGATGTGTACTGATTCATATTTTAGTCTTAGATACATGATATACTTTATTAGTTGTTTTTGGCGTTAATAGCTGTCAGTATCTGAGTGTATTCTCAAATCTGTAGTTTATGGTTTATTTTGTTAGGGATGTATAAATACCATGCCACGTTTGTGTTTATGTTAGATGCTTTTCTGCTTGTATCGATCTGATGAAGTAATCCCCTTTTCAACTGATGTTTATAGTTTGTTCTTTTGTTATACTGTTAAACCACTGTCCCATATTATGGGAGGGTTTGGCGCCAGCAAACTAGTTTAACCCATTCACATTATGTATGTGCCTGTCCCAAGTCAGGAGCCTGTTAATCTGTGTTTGTCGTTTGTTGCTGAATATCATATGCGTTTTTTTAACACCACCACATTCGGTATGTGCCTGTCCCAAATCACACCTCCTAAGGTATTATCACATCTCCTTATGTGCACATATCAATGAATGCATATAGAAGTTTCTCATACGTGCAATTAGTTGTTCGAAAAATTGTCAATATATTTAAAATTCTAGAAAAATCATATTGTTTGGATGATGAACTGCTATTTTACTGTTGCGTTGCCAGGCCAATAATCATTAGCGGATTCATGAAGGGGTGGCAAACATTCATTATTAGCATATGAACCGTCATATCGGACAAAGCTTGAAGAGGTGAGATGCTTGAAATAATGTTTAAATGATCTCGCCATAGTATTAGCAAACTGAGGACATCAAGAATGTTGTGGTCTTCGGAATCAAAGTAATGTTGACTTCAACAATGTCTTTGTACAATATTTACTATTATTTGATGTACTTTTGAGTTCTTACTACATTGTGTTTTATATTTTTCAACATGTAAGTAACGCAATTGTAAAACATTACTAAAGGCTGAAAAGGTATGTCCAAACACGATGTAGTTTCGATATCGAGGACATTTGCATTTAATTTAGATAATGAATACCCATGGTAATCAAAATTGTATTTATCAGCAATTCAAAAGTCTGAATAAAACGTATATTTTATGGATATACTAAATTGTTTGAAAAATTATTAAAATGTTTAAGTACCACTACGATTCATTAACTTGTTTGTTCCCCATTCCTCGCCAAATCGCGGTTGGGGGTTTGAGTTGGTGGACATAGAAATTATGGGCCTACGTCCCTCTGTCCATGATCCCGTTTGTTGGTCTTGTAATCCCTTTCTCACGTACAATTCTTGCCAGGTTTTTATAAAATGACATCAAAGGTGTATGTTGGCAAAGACTTAGACGAGTTTGAAGATTAGTGCTGATCAAGTAAATCAAATTAATATGTTCCTTTGAAATTGTATGAAACATTGCATTGTAAGCGCTCTCAAATTTATTTCCCTCATAAAAAAGAAGATTTTTATGAAATTAGTATTAAAGGTTTATATCATTAAGGTCTTGGACGAATTCGCTAATCAGCACCAATCAACTGTTTTTTCAGGAGTTATGTCATTTCTAAATATACGGAGTTTGTTCCCAGAGGCGGACTTTGATGCAATTTATGTTTAACCTATACAGAGATGAATCAATCAATATCATGGGAAACTCCTTGACAAACTAGCATGCAATACATGTTTAAAAACTGGGTTTATAAAATAAATAGATTTAAGTTACCGTTTCAGTCGTTTCTGTTTTCATTGCTATACCATTAGTGTATTTTCGATTAGCCTTTTCTGTAAATGCATGTATGTTTGTTTCAAAAAGCGAATAGAAAATCGTTCAACTGTAGAAATGGATATGTATGTTGATACAATGCATTGGGTCCATTCTATTTGATAATCTTCACGAATTATACTCAAATAACACAAATACGAGATGTCAGATAATTTAATTGTAATTGGTCAATACAAATGCCACATAGGTGTCTATTATGGTTTGTTGTAGGGTCTAAGTAATAGGGAAAATAAAGAATAGAAGGTAAGAATGATTTGTACTGCATATATGATATTACGAATTATGTATTTAAGTATTTGGTATTGGATATGTCACATAAAAATGTGAATTCACACTTCAAAAATGCGTATTGATAGCAGGTGTATATTGACATACTTAATCACAAATTATTACGCGTTATTGTTGATCAGTTTTGTGTGGCTCGATTTTTCAAGAATGTATTATTATAACATTAATTGCAAATAATTTATTTCTTTGTATTGATTGGTCTCAAACGTCGAGCACAGACACCAAAGTAAGTACAGATTCATGATAACACGTGTTAGGAGGGACCCCTTTAAATTCCTTGGGATAGAAGAACAGATCCTTTACTGCAAAATTTTTGAAAAAGTTGTGCATGAAAAATAAAATAAATATTCAGTGTCTGTACAACGTGTTCATCACAATGATAAAACTATATAAGAGTGTGTGGAAAACATTTTCCTGTATAGAAAATGGTCGTCCCTTAATTTGAAAAAAAAATTTTTTACAGTAAAAACCCACAAATACTTCCTTTTTCTCCTATTAATAGAATCTAGCTAGCCCGTCAATTCTAAATTACTGACGCACTTAAAAAATGCAACCCTAGATTTCATTTTCCTGTTCAAATATGCAATACTTGGAAAAAAACCAGTAACAAACAAACATGTTATTCATTACTTATAGTCTAGATAAAGTTTGCAGTTCGAAAGTTGAACTGACTACGTCACGTTTAAAGTTAAAATCATTTGGTTTGCAGTTGACAGGGGCGGTGTTGATTACTTTTCAAAGCAATTGATTAAATTACAATTACGATTGTGATTTTAATATCTTTAATATATATGCATGTTATTCAGAACTTGGACCAAGAGCAGTGTAACATGTGTACATTCTGATATTATAGACAACAAGATACCAAAGAGTCATTTAAATTCAATAGTCGAAAATAAATTGACAACGCCAGGGCAAAAAAAAAAAAAAAAGTACAAAAGATAAACAACAGTATTCAAAACAAAATATAGAAAACCAAAGACTGAGCAACTCGAACCCCACCAAAAACAAATTTCCTTTCTCTATGATCAAAATAACGTTGTTTTTACTTATTTTTGAGCCCAATGTAAATTTTCAATTTACAAAAAGAACTGAACAATGTACAAGCATGTTTACAAAATTGATCAACCTAGTGTTCAATAAACTGACGGACTTTAATAACGCAACACACACTTTGGTGATTTTTCAACTAAAATTCATGGCTAACATTCTTCTTTCTGTTTAGAAAAAAATCAATACCTGACTATCCTGATTTATTGATTATTGAAGTCGCACGAATTTCTAAAAGCGATATTTGACACCCATGAATGATTTTTTTCACGCCAGAAACTATTCCTACTCACCTTAAAACAACGGTACAGGCAGACGGAATTCGTTGATGACCCACTCCCTTTTCTGACCAGATCTTTATAAAGTGTTAACGCTACGTCAATATATTTTTACTAAGCAACGTCATTTGCGAGACATGTTTACGGCAGCAATGTGAACTGCTAATCAAGTCGTCGAATCCCTTTGCAGACAGATTAACGTCATAAATGTTTCACCGAAAAATTGCCAAAACACAATGTTATGGGTTGGACCGAGTCCAAATCAGAAGATTTAAAACAGAACTCAAACCATGCCCAAAATAACTTGTTCAAATTTCTGTCAATAATTTAGGCGTCGGTGACAGGCAGCCATTGCCGTCGACAGTGACAAATCTATTCATAAGGGGAAAACACGGTTTTAGTGCATACCACATGATTTGAACATTAACATAACGTATTGAATTCAACTTTCGAATTGCAAACTTTTTAGGCAATGAAGTAATAAATGAAATGTATGCTAATACATTTATTTTACAGACATTGCTTATTTGAAAATGAGAAATAAATAGTATAATCTAGTATTGCGTTTTTAAAGTCCGTCAGTAAATGATTTATTATGGTTCAATATGATTAATCCTATTTAGAATTACTTTTAGCATTTACAGTTCACAAAATAGTTTAACCTTTTCAAATGTTTCATTCTAAGATTGAATCCTTCTGATATAAGATTGCTTTGAAAACATTTTATGATCCCTTATGGAACAGTTATGATAGTAACTCTAATTAGAGAATAAGACTACAAATATAGTTTACACAGTATTTTGTTTAAACTACGTTGACATTCACCAAAACAATTTTCATATACAAAATGTGTAATCAGGAAGGAATCGTATCAATGTAATCTAAAACTAATCCCAAAGTTATCATATAAACATCTGTTTCTGTACTGATATCGATTAGATTTCGATTACTTGTAATCAGAAGTTGTATGATTACTGATAACATGTGGTTACTTCACAAAATGTAATCGATTACAGCTGATTACGATTACTTTCTATGATTACCCCATGCATGACACTGGAATCCTAGTTTTTCTTATTATTAATTAGAGTGTTCGCCGTCGAAGGCAAGCACTGCTTGTAACATACGCATAAATGATTGACAGGAAACTCGACAAGTAATGTGGGAGATATTTTAACAGTTTTGTCCCTGCTCATTTTGCCTGTATCTCGTCCATAGCTGTCTGTTTTTTTGCATTGATGCTGTTTAAACTGTAACCTTTAAAATAATCTTCTGTAGTAGATTCTGTGGAATTTCAGTATATGGGAAATTTTTTAGCGTAAATCAGTTTGCCATGACATCCGGCGATTTGGTTAGCAGTTAAAATTGCACTCGTAGATCCCTATCGTGAATGGTCTTGCGTAATTGAATTTTATAGATGTAGTGTCTTAACTAAGGGTTTACCTGGTCATGTGTGTTAATTTTTAAATCCCGTCTGCCTGTACCTTTGTTGTAAGAACTGAAAGGGGAATATCTGTCTTGAAATTGTCTAGCAACAGCACGTTGACTTAACCTTATAGTTTTTCTTATGCTGTGCTGTTACACCACTGTCCCAGATAAGGGGAGGGTTGGCACGCCTTCAAACATGTTTAACTCCGTCACATTTTGTACGTTCTTGTCTCAAGTCAGGAACCTGTAATTCAGTGGCCGTTGTTGTTCTTTTATTGTTTTGTACATAAAAGAGGCCGTTAGTTTTCCCGTTTGAATTGTTTTGCATTTTTCATTTCATAGCCTGTCATTGCTTGCTACGTAGTATGGATTTTGCTCATTATTAAAGCCCGAACGGTGACCTATAGCTTTAACTTTTTTGCATCATTTGTTCTCTGGTAGAGGGTTGTATCGTAACAATCACAACGCATCTTCTTATTTTATAAGACAGTTCCTCCTTTAAAAAGATTCCGAAAATTCTACCCTAGAACATTTTTAAACAGTTCTACCCTTGAACATTTATTGACAGCTGTACCGGTGAACTGATTCTAATAATTCTACACTAAAACAGATCCTGGCAGTGTTATCTCTGCAACAATTTGTTTGAGCTCTGTCTTAATTTCTTTTTTCCTTTGTCTATTTTATTAATTTCTTTATATAATTTTTCAATTTATTCATTGATGTTTAGCATTTTTTCGTGTAGTAAGAATATTTACTGCCTGTGTACAAATCTGATTTTATTCATTTATTTTTACTGATTAATAAGTCTATTTATTTGTTAATGTTATCCGTATAACTTAAAAAAAATAATCTGGTATATCGTTGTTAACAATTATGGTTAATTATTTAGTAAAGTTCATGTTTTAAACGTTTATTATCTATTTTACTATTTAACCTTTCTGATCTGATATTAATATTAGCGACAGTTCAACTTTACATAATGAAACTAAACAACACATCATTACATGCATAAGTAAACCAATTTGTATCTTTAATGGTCATTTCGATCTGAACAGCTCTTAAAAAACTGAAAAAAAATTTAATTTTTCTGAAGACTTTTATGATATTTTCAGACTAAATACCTGCGACGAATTCAGTACTGTTCAGGCAACTCACTTGCAGTAAATTAAGATATGTTCAATCTACCAGAATGGTTAAGTACTGAAGGACTGAACATGACTGCATAATTTATTGGTCAGACTTTTCAGAAGATGTTCAGATCGAAATAACCGTTTACGACTAAAATTCATTTACTAGCCATACGATTGTAAAATGTCAGGTAAAATAGGGTAACAGTAGTTTATCGATCTTCAAATCTTATCAATTGATTGAGAAGGCAAATCAAAGCAACAAACAAAAGCTTAGGGAATCTCATGAACTCCTAAAAGGAACTAAAACCGGGTTATTCGACAGGGTAAGCTAAGCCTCTTGGGCTGTGTATGCATCACCCGCCATACAAATCAACACTCAGTTAAAATGTCACAATCTGGAATATGACACATTCGTTAAAATTAAAGATCAGGCTACTGGTATTCTGGTATCTAGAGATATAAGACTGCGAAAACAGGTTGTAAGTGAGTTGAGATCAGTAAAGTTTTCTTGTAAGAGTTAATAAAATCGATGTAGACTAGGGTTGTTAGTATGTATTACATTCATAGGTGGTTTGTAAATTGATTCTACTTATAACTTTTGACTGTATTGATTATTATCTGTTTAACGTTCATGGATATATTTGTATCAGTTGGTGAATTTATTTTGCTAATATGTAAACAGGCGGCAAATGAACTACATTATAATAATAAAACAAATACAAACATGTTATCATGTGTTCAATTAATTGGTAAAAAGGAATAACGCAAGGCTCCAGAGAACACCTTTTAACAAGATTGATAACCACTAACCTGTATATTTCTTCCTTTGCAGGATACATTTTTTCAGTATTGCTGACAAAAAAAATGGGAAAATGGATGGAGTATTCGAAATTTGTTTTAATCATTATTTTCATTTCTTTATTTATAATTCTGTTCCGTCATACGAGATTAAGAACTATTGAAAAATTTGTAGAACCTTTCACTGAGCAAACGGCTAGCAAACGCGGTTCATATTTTTCTACATATTTAGAGGAAATAAACAAAACAAGGTTAGTATGTGGCCAGCTATGTAATACATCACGAAAAGGAACTCCAGGAATTTTTTTTGAGAAAATTACAGCCACTATAAATTGTGAAGCTTTATTTCTAAACGAATATGTTGATTCATCTCATGGGCTTGCGCATGCTCCAAGAAAAATACCTTCAATTTTATTGAAAGAATATACGATGAATGGCCTAATAAAAGTGCACACGGCCTATTTTAACCAACCCTACCTTGGTAGTAATGCGAGGATACCTATTTGGACCAAATCTTTACTCAAGGAGTATGTAGCGCGAGCAAAAGAAGGTAAACTGTTTGGTGTTTATGGAATATCTGAAACTAACGCACTTAGGGACGGACTACAACATGCACCAGGAGTGAAAGGAGGGCGTGTCCTAGTCATAGGATCTGAAAAACCATGGGTTGAAGCATGCTTACTTGAGATAGGTGCAAAAAGTATTGTTACACTTGAATATGGAAGGATCAAATCTGAACATGAGCAAATAACAACTATGGTTCCATCTGAATATAGACGAACATTTTTAGATAATACATTAGGATTATTTGACGCAGTTGTATCATTTAGTTCCATAGAACATTCTGGACTAGGAAGGTATGGGGATGCTCTGAATCCGTGGGGCGATTTAATAGCAGTGGCTAGGGCTTGGTGTGTAACAAAAACAAATGGATCTCTGGTACTCGGTGTACTATACGACATAAATAGAGATTACATTACATTCAATGCACACAGGTGTTATGGTAGAAAAAGATACCCATATCTGACAACAAATTGGATTCAACATTATTTGGGGACAGGGATTCAACGTGTTCATGTGTTTACAAAATAGAATTATTCATAATATTATCTTATATTAATATGCTTGATACCAATATGATAGAAAGGAGGTACAAAGAATTTCATATCTATCATAACTCCATAATAATGAGGTACCAAGACATCTCTTCGCAGTAATTCATCAATACCGTGTGCATCTCGTTAGACGTCGTATAGATTACCTTTGGGTCCTCAATGCTCTTTAACTTCGTACTTGATTTTGACTTTTAACTTTTTTATTCGATCGTCGCTGTCTTTTGAAGACAAAATGCAAGTCTAGCGAACACAGTTATAAGTCTGGTATCTTTGATGAGTTTTTAATGGGCCATTTCAGTTGCAGCTCGTACAAGTATCAACCACATTCAGATTCACGGTGCGCTCAACACCCATATACAATAGCATATGAATAACCAGATGAACTGACCTTGACCTCACTTTCACCATTGATTGATTAAAATTTTTACTATACCATCAGATTCTTATTTATTAAATGTAACAGTTAATTGTGTACATGATCATTGTAAGTTTTACATGTCGGCTAACTGGGTTCATCTGACTTTGGTATACAGTGTGTTTTGATATATCTGGTGTGCTCTTGATCTTTCTAGATCGTCCTATGACCTACTGTTAAAAGTTCTAAAGGACAATTTTTTTTTAAATATCTTAGTTATTGTCTTTGGACAGATAAAACATATGCAACACAGGGGACATTGGAACTTTCTTCTTTTATTATGTTTTGTTTTTACAAACATAGGATTTCCAGAGAAAATATTGGTGAAGTAAAATAAAAACGCATACTTTCCTTTGTATTGCTACACTCAATTATTAGATGTCCCAGTATGTTTTGTACATCGGAAGGCAACGTATTGTACATAATAGAAGAAAAAAAGGTTACAAATATGCTCTCATTTGTTCCTAAAGATTCCAAACCGCGTATGTTACTCTCAGTTCTTTCTGAAAAATTTCTCAAGCTGTCTGCGTATTACGTCGGTGCATGCAAATCAATGAAATTTGAATATATGCAGTCGTGATTTTGAGGGTCTGACAAAACCTCTCTCTCAATATTCCTACGGCTTGATAGTAACTTGCACTTGTGAGGGGTAATCCGACGATACATTGTGCGGCTATGCCCTGAATTTAATTTTGCGAATACATAAACTTTGGCCGTCTGTTAATGATTAGTTATCATGTATTGTTGATTGATACGCATCCCAGAAAAGTTGCCAGTTTAATAATTTGCCATTAAAATTTGGAAGATTTAATGTTGGTAGATTGGGATAGATACATGTACTATAATTTGTTGTCATCATTAACAATCTGTATTGCATTTCATTATTTTGCTTGGAATATTAGATATTGCATGTAGATGTGAATGTCATATATACGAAATCTGGTGCATTTGGATTTAAGTTCAGATTTAAGCTAGTTTCATTTGATTTGTTATTCTATTTTGAGCTTGATGTTTTGCGTTCTTTTGTCAATCTACGTTCTATATCTAAAAAATACCGATCTGCGTGTTTTGTTTCAGCTTCAATGTTTTCCTCATTTATCTCTTCTAGAGTTTCACTGTCCTGTTGCGTAATAATTCTCCTTTATTCTAAAGTCTCACATACACATTAAAGTGTGTCGCGTTGTCTTGTTGATTTTTCCAACTCTTCTTCTATCTTGGAAATACATTTTCTTGTGGCTCCTCGATGGCCTACTCTTACGGCCTTTTTTCGCCATTGTATCCTAGTCATGTACTCATGTGACGGATGGGTAAAATGTACAAAGCACGATAACAAACGTTAGGAACACCCATGTTAACCTTTGACTTTACTTACATTTCTTAAAATATCGATTCTCCCTGTGAGGACACTTGGTTCTTATAACTTAGAAAATGACATAAATATACTTGTAGGTTACATTTTTGTACCATTACGAAACTCGACAAATCAACAGCATGATTTTGTAAATTTTGAATCATATTTTATTAATACTCCATTTAAACTCCAAAACATACAGTCCTTGCATGGTGTAAACTTCCCACTAACACCATACACCATTACACCATTCACCATACACCATTACACCATACACCCTGTACCAATACACCATACACGTTACACCTTTGCACCATACACATTACACATTACACCATAATGCAATTTAATTTCAAAGAAAGCGTGCGACTACAAAATTATTTATTTATTTTAAAAAACGAATTTTGATCACAATATTGTAAATTAATGTATAAAATTAAAAATCAGTTCTTAAATGTCGTACACCATTCATTCACACCATTCCCGACCGCACGTTACACCATTACACCATTACACCATTCCCCTTACACCATACACCATAGCACCATACATCTTCTACCATTGCACCATATGCCATACACCATTACACCATACACGTTTTTTTGGGAAGTTTACACCATCCAAGGGCTGTAAGTATGATTTCAAGACGGCCATATAACAGGTGCGCTGATGTCAGCGCCGATTAAACTTTAATGTCAGCAGAAAGGTAAGTTATGGACGAATGTTTAGGGTTTCTTCGATTGCAGTCACAATTCTATTCATTATTTCTGTAGTAACACTAAATTTTCATAGTTAATCTTTAATCGGCTTTTTCATGAGTCATTTAGGCGTTCACTGCTAGGTATAATTTTCATTTGGTTCCACTTTCAGCAAGTTTTTGTTTAGTACGGTTGTATCGGTTCGGTCTCGTTATCTTTTTGACAGCTGCCTTTAATGTTGTTATCGGAAAACACAATTCTTAGAACATTTTCCCTGGCAACAAATCTCCTAACTGTAAATTAGAAAGACTCCTCAGTCAAATATGGGACTAAGTGTATATATTGGGTTGCGGTGCATGTGAATAAACACATATATGTTTCATTTAGTTCGTCATATTTTCTTTGTGTGTACAAATTGCATGTGAAATCAACACTGGTTACCGAAAAAGGATAATGGTAATTAACTCGGTCTTTAGGCAGCAGTGGCGGTTTGCGTACGCTGTAAGGCAATCCGAAAATTTTTATGCATTTAATACACCTACGTAGTTGTGGTTGTACACATTGCCTTATTCGGGGTATCCGATATCTCTGTTTAAGGAAAGCGATTGTACAGTTAAGGCCGGTATGTCTTAGTGTGCATCAATGATGATTAACGACGCAAAACTGTGATGCGTCCGCCATAATAATCGATATTGTGTATCCTTTTTATCAGGTGCGTTATGTGTTCTCCCGCTACAAAAATCTATTTTGTCTCAATTCAGTTTAAGTTGTCGTACAAGCGATACTTTTTTTCTGTGAAGATGAAGTCAGACTATCAATGTCGTCCTTTCATGTTCATGATATATGGCTCATCAAGATCGTTTAATGCATTATATCGTTCCTTAACTATTTTTTGTCATCCAGTAATTCCATTAACCTTGTACTTTCATTTCAAGTATTTTATTTAGTCGATGTGCTACGAACCGTTTCAAGTTTTGACGATCGTACCACATATATACGCGTTCGTTTTTTATGATTGGAAGAACATGATCGGCTAATCTGGCTCTGATTAGCACATCCATAGTTTTCAGCGTGGGTGTGAAATCGGTTCCAATGCTGATATCCTGTTTTTAGTTAGCTATAAGAAAGACCGATGAATTTGCTGTCACTTAATACGCACAATTTCCATGTGCTTACTGGCTGGCGTTCGTGAAAAAAATGTGTTGATGTTCTTTCGCTTTTGATTCCTTCCGTTACCATTCGTGGATTTTGATAGCATCCTTAATATCTAATGCGATAACCTGTCATTTATTCTTAAATCTGTCGAACACACATTTATCCCAATCCATTACTGCTCTTGGTGTGATTAATCCTATGGTATAAAGTCATTAACGATGTGCTAAAAATCTCACGCTTTGTAACTATTTTGTCCTTTTCAATGAAATAAATTTGTTGAAGTCTCAGGTCGTCGTGTTCCGTATCCAATCACATGCGTTAAAGTTTATCTTTGGTATCATTGTCGGCGATCTGTTCTCGTCAAACGACGTTGTAATTCTTCACTTTTATAATTTCAATACTGTCAGTTGAACCAAGCCTATGGCAATATTTTCCTTTAATGTGAAGAATTTAAAAACTGATTGTTCATCTCTAAAACTGGTCAGGACTCTATACACGTATACCTTTCTCTGTAAATCTGTTGATGTATTTAACGGATTGTCTATAAAATGTTTCATGAACGTAGCGAAAGGATAAAAAGCGAACAGAAAAGTACAATCCAAAACTTGAAAGTAATCAATCTTCTTTCCATGTAAATGAGAATCTAAAGCAAAAAGAATCTTATTCAGGTTTGGCTACACCTTAGTATCTGTTTGGTTCTATAAGTTCTTCAATATTTGTATTATGTTTTGGATTTTCAAGTATTTTGGCCACGGAAGATACATTGACAGTCGAACCCTTTTTAATTATTTTGCAAGCGTTCGAAGCGATTTTCTAGATTTTTCTTCATCAGGTACGGTCGAAGGCAAATATTTGAAAACCAAGGAAGTATAAGAACCGACACAGTTGAAGAGCTAAAAACCAAAAAGAACATAGACATATCATCCAAATACATCCAATTTTTCCGTTAAATCAGTCATAATTGGTGCAAATCGTTGCAACACGGGCTATTGTTGATTGCTCTACTGCTACAATTATATACTATACGTATCGGGATGGTGGCTGATTCCGTTTTGACGAGATGATACGGAATGAAGTGAACCTTGTTTGTAAATGTAATTTAATCAGATACCTATTCAATGAATCCTAATTGTTCTTATTCTGTAACTATGTCAACGTACTTTCAAAACTTCTCTGGATTCTTCACTAGGCGACTAGAAACGCTTAAAATTTACATTTTAATGTTTTCATTGGTCGGTAGTTCTTGTGCATTCTCTTTCAATGGCAATGTCGTAATGTATTTTTATTCGTAATGACGTTTAAATGTAATATTCAATTGATACGGTCAATTCTGGATCATTTTGTTCTTTTGTGTCGATTTCCAACAAATCAATCTCTCAAATTGTTTTCAAGACACCACTCATTTTGTTTCTGACTGCTGACATATTCATCATTGAAAAAGATGTATTGGATACATAAGCTTCACAAAATTCCGTACAAACAACGGTTCATTGCTGTCTAATCTGCATGTTCTGCATAGGAATTGTCTGTTTGATTGACGAAAATTCTGTCCGCAGTGAAAGAAGGTCTTCAGAAATACTGTGAAACTGTTTACTCGCCTATTGGCATTAACCATATGTGGATTCTAAAAAACTTTGGATATTTATTTTAATATCGATATTTCTCCTAAATTAATTCTATCAAAACTTTCGATTTCTCAACATTGTATACCACCTTTCGCCATGTGCAATTGAAAAATCGTCTTAATCAAATAATCCACAATGCTTTTCAATATAAAAATGGGAGCATACGCTATAAATGTATTGCTTTGGGA